GGGTTAGAATAAGGATTTAGAATAAGGGGTTAGATTAAGGGGTTAGAATAAGGGGTTAGAATAAGGGGATAGATTAAGGGATTAGAATAATGGGTTAGAATAAGGATTTAGAATAAGGGGTTAGATTAAGGGGTTAGAATAAGGGGTTAGAATAAGGGATTAACACAAGGGGATAGAATTAGGATTTAGATTAAGGGATTAACATAAGGGGATAAATTAAGCGGTTAGAATAAGAGATTAGAATAAGGGGTTAGAATAAGAGGATAGAATAAGAGGATAGAATAAGGGGTTAGAATAAGGGGATAGATTAAGGGGATAGATTAAGGGGATAGATTAAGGAGTTAGAATAAAGGATTAGAATAAGGGGACAGATGAAGGGATTATACTAAGGGGTTAGATTAAGGGGTTAGAATAAGGATTTAGAATAAGGGGTTAGAATAAGGGGATAGATTAAGGAATTAGAATAAGGGATTAACATAAGGGGATAGAATTAGGATTTAGATTAAGGGGTTAGAATAAGGGGATAGAATAAGGGATTAACATAAGGGGATAGATTAAGCGGTTAGAATAAGAGATTAGAATAAGAGGATAGATTAAGGGATTAGAATAAGGGGTTAGAATAACGGGAGAGAATAAGGGGTTAGAATAAGGGGTTAGAATAAGGGGATAGATTAAGTGGTTAGAATAAGGGATTAACATAAGGGGATAGAATTAGGATTTAGATTAAGGGGTTAGAATAAGGGGATAGAATAAAGGATTAACATAAGGGGTTAGAATAAGGGGATAGATTAAGCGGTTAGAATAAGAGATTAGAATAAGAGGATAGAATAAGGGGATAGATTATGGGATTAGAATAAGGGGATAGGATAGGGGTAGTGCGTAGCTGCCGAAAACCTATTGAAGATTTTCGAAGTCTCGAAAACCTTCAATAGGTTTCCGAGATCGTGAGCTTTTTCATTGCTTTTGAAGGTTTCCGAGAGCTCGGAAACCCTTTCTCGGAAACCTATAAAGGGTTTCATATAGTGACAAACCCGGAAACCCTCTATAGGTTTCCGACAAAACCTTTTTTTTTTAGAGTGTAGTTCTAAACTAAGTTAAAATTACTTCAACAACTGGCACTCGGCATCGGTAGAAGAAATTTTATGTGCAAAAATATTTTACAAAGCAGTGTCATATCTGATTTTACAGTTATTATTCAACCATATCAAATTTCAAAAAAAGTTGCTTTTCAACCAATATTCAAAGAAGATCGATCATTATTAAATACTTTTATCTTTTATCAATATCCCAATTTGAAAGAATGTTCTTAAGCTAATATTATGATAGAAAATAAACATCCAAAATTAGGCATTCGTATTATCATATAATTTCTAAAAATTCAAGAGTTTCTGCATTAGTTTAAAAATTAAACAAATAGAGTCAGTTTATAATAAATGGTCGTAATATTTGTTTTATACATCAAAAATGCATTTTAATGACTATGTTTTCATTATTCACTACAAACCATACATGATAATGGTCAAAATGATTGAGTGATGGAAAAATGGTCATTAAAATGACCATTTTTTCATTATTCACTAGACAGGGCAGATTTTAAAATTGAAAGTACCTTTGCTACTGTTTATTTGCGTGCTGATTGTAGTTATTTTGAAGATTTACCACCATAAACTAATGATGAAAAAATTTCATCAGCCATTGCCAGTCAAATTGATGAAAATAAACTTCAATCTACGTCTTTTTACGTGCAATATAATAAGCAGACAGGTAATGCAATTGTCTTAGCAACACAGTCAAACAAAAAATGGATAATAGAAAGTGTTTTAACCATCAATGGACAAAACATAACAAAAAAGACGAAACTTGCGTATCGTGTTCTTGTCTTTCCTGTGCCTGAGGGTTTTAATATCGATCAAATTCTTAAACATCAATTGTTTGGACGAATTGTTATGATAATTGTTTATCAGTTGGAGCTCTTCGTTTCGGCAACATCATGATGCAAATTGTGTCACATATTCTAGCTGCTGATCCAGACAAAACTGAAATAAATGCTGAAAATTGGTATGAAACAGAGATGTTCAATATAAAACCAGATATAATGACAATGATAAGAAATCCTCAACATCCAATATTTTGTTATAAATGGAATGCACAAATTTGGATTGAACAGATGAAAAAATTCGTTGTGAAAGATAGACAATCAAAAAAATATGATCTTAATCGACATTTATTACGAGTAACAGTTATGTTAAATACAATAGGTGTTGTTCGAAAGAAAAAATATGTAGTTGATGATGAAGAAATAATTTTAAAATCTGAACCTATGAAAACAATTGGATACAATCATCAATCAAAATTATTATACGAAAAAACAATTGCGCAAACAGATATGAAGACACCCTATCCATCAATAAATGTTATTGTAATTAATGAAGATTGTCTTGTTCTTTATGAAAAATTAGTCTCCGAAGGATATCGACCATTATTATTAAATATGGCAAATGCAACTAATCCTGGCGGTGGATATCGTAAAGATGATGGAGCACAATAAGAAAATCTATTTCGTCGATCAGATTATTATCGAAGTCTTGATTCTAATGTTGCCGATAAAGATTGATCAGAACGACTTTATTGTACAACAAAATGTGAATTGAAACAATCAAACAACATTTGATGAATACTATCCAATGAAAGAATTCGGAGCTATTTATAAACATCTGGTATTACTGTTTTTCGTCAAACAGAAGCCAACGGATATGCTTTTATGGAAAATCCTTTATATAATGTATGTGCTATTGCTATGGCTGCATATCGTGATCCAGAATTAACTACGGAAAAAATGTTAGAAAATATATTTGCTATTGCACATCATCATAAACATGATTGTTTAGTATTATCAGCATTTGGTTGTGGTGCTTTCAAAAATCCACCTGAACATATTGCTTTACTTTTTAAATCTGTTATTTATCAATATGCTGGCTATTTTAAAACAATTTATTTTGCTATTGTTGTTGATCATAATACTGGAAATCGAATTAATCCAGATGGAAATTTTCTTCCATTTAAAACAATACTTGATGGTTTGAATGTTCATCCACCAACAACAATACGTGTTAATGGAGTTAGTGGATCAAATCGTATTCTAAATAAAACATCAGATGGAAAATAAAATCTAAGTGATGTATGTATTTTATATCTTCAACCATGTCAATATGGATCAAAATGTCATGATCTTAAAAATTCTCAACACAATAACAATTATTTACATCCACCAATATGTTCATATCAATATGCAACATCATCATGTGAACAAATGAATGATGAAGTACATATGTTTACATTTTTACATACTATCAAATGTCAATATGGTGGTCAATGTGATGATAAAGATCGAAAACATTTGAGTGAATATGATCATCCAAATTATTGTATAGATGAAGGCAATTGTCAAAATGTTCATCAACAACATTTATTTGCTTATCGACATTTACCATTATGTTCAGATGGATTTAATTGTTCGAAATATCTCAAGAGAGATAATGATCATTGTAAAGAATTTCGTCATTGTAAATCTATTTGTCCTTATGATAATTGTTGTATTTAATTTCATGATAAACAACATTTTGAAAATACAATACATTCATTTCGATTACCATGTCCATTTACATCATATAATTGTTCAATGTATGTTGAATTTATACAAACTGGAAATACAAAAAAATATCTTCAGAAGTACAAAATCATTGTTATAAATATTCACATGTTTGTCCATTTGGTCGTCAATGTAAAACATCAATTCATATTGCTCGTAAAATATGTTCTGATATTGATAAATGTTTATAACTTACTGTCGAAGAACATTTAGAATCATTTTCTCATCCCGGTATACGTGATATTCGTCTATTCTGTCGAGAACCATGTTTTAAATGTCCAGACAGATTGAAAAATGAACATTTGAAAAAATATCGACATGGAAAAAATTACAATCATCTTAGTGCTGTTCAATCTACTAATCTTAATGCATCTATTAATTTTATGCGTAATCGAAGTCAATTAAGAAGAACTGTGAATAATTATGTTGATGTATCCAATTGGAAAAAAGCAAAAATTTCTCCTGAGATACTCAATTGGGTGTGAGCATTATAACCTGTACATCGATGTGCACCACATATTTTCGAATCAATTCTTGTTCATGGTCATGTTATGAGTCGATATTATATGAATTTATTACAACAACCAGGTTATGCTGCCAAAGCAGTGCGACAACACAGTCGAATACGTTTAATTTTTCTTAAGCATAATATTCCTGCAGTAAAAGACAATGCATTTAGACTAATAACAGCATTAGTTGAAGCCGAATTTGCCAAGAAAAAAAGGGTGTGGGTGTGTGGGTGTGGGGTGTGGGTGTGGGTGGGTGGGTGTGGGTGTGGGTGAAGAGAAGATTAACACCCACACCCACACCATTCCGAGTCCAAAAAAATTTTATCGACCGGATCCGCATCGGGTTCGGGTAAAGCAAATTTTCATTAGTCGGGTCCGGGTCCAAAAATTGGTGGACCCGATGGGCTCTAATCTACACCCACATCTCACACACACATCCCACACCCACACCCTTACGACAGAAAGAGAACAAGGTTCAATCATGTATAGATAAATGTAAGAGTAGCATAATAATGAACACTATGTATCATTGATTGTACAAGAACACACTGAGAAAGTAAAGATATCATATAAGATAATATACCTATCGGCATAGATATGCTTAAGAGAAGCTTGTGTTATTAACAGAGACCGAATGTTGTTCTCAAAATCGAAAGTTGCAGTTTATTTCATTGGTCGTTAATGGTGCTGAAGTGGTCATTGGTGGAGCGTTCTCCCGAGGTTCGTCACCGAATAACTGCAGGCCTTCTTGGCTTATTATCTCTTCGAGTTGTGTTGGATTTGGATATTTTCCTGCCATGTCCTTGAGCTGCATTATGAGACGACATAGTGTTTCAGCTAGCTGTCGCTGAGAAGTATACTCGAAGGAATGTATGTCCGCATTCTTAAGTAAGCAAAACTCTAATGGTTCAAAAGCTAAGCGCTTCTTGTAGAAATCCATCTGTTCAGATTGGGGAAGAACACGGATGTGGGATGGTGTATCGATATTAGAGTAGTGAAGATACTCAATGATGATATGGATAGAGCCAGTTACATGTTCAGTTGTGCATGTTCTAGGATGAATCGCCGTATCTTTGTTTGCTTTTTTTCTACAACAATAATCACAAATACAACAGCAGCAATCTCGTATGTTTTGCCAAAGTGTGCGTTTCTCGGTCGATTGTGGAACATTCGAAGGTCTGATAATGTGTCTCTTAACTTCCTTGGACACGTTGATTGAAGCAAAGACAGAAATGATGTCTTCAATTGGAACAATCGTAATATTTTCTTTTTGTTTCTTGTTATATAAATTCGTTTCAAGTGATGGTGTAGCACGATGAATGCCTTTATCCTTAGCCCCCCCACGTACTCCACTCGATGGTATCATGCCATTGTCTGTATCTTGCCCAATTTTAGTCTGTGAAGAAGCCTCAGACCAAGTATGTATTGCAAGTACTGGACATGTGTATTCGCCGTCGATTGTACGTGCACCTACAGATCGGAGTTATTAGTAAGGTGATTTAAAACTCATAAGAAAGTTGGATCGGGCATAACAGTACATTCAACGAGCAACAATATCCAGATTCAAAAGCTTAGTATAAGTTAGAAAATATCATCCGTCATGATTGAAAGAATAAAACTTTACGAAAATTAAACGAAAAAGATGAAAACAAAGAAAACTCGTAGTATTCATACTTGTAATGAGAAATTGAATTACTATAAATAAGGATAATTGTATTGGTGTGCATATGAAAGAACAAATTATTTATGCACTACCTTTTGATACTTAAAGATTTCTGGAAAATATTCATCTTGACACAATTATAGGTAAAAAATTCATAATTTTCTATTAAAAAATGGTCATTTTACAATTATTTCAAGTGAGAAAAAAACACTTCAAGTCAACATTGATATCTGGAGTTCTCTCTCTATAGTATGCTTTCTAATAATTTGACCAAAATATGTTATTTGAAAGTAAAAGCGTATTTTTTTAATGAACGTAATATTTTTATAAACTGTTGCATGGTTTTTCTTTATCTTATGTAACTTATCAAGTAGTACCCATGTCGCTTCTTTTTTTCATCGGCTGTGACGCATTGAATGTAGTCAAACTTTTTATCACAACTAGGAACTCACCGAACCCGAACTCGAGTTCGGAATTTGGATCGAACGATTCAAGGCTCCTGTTTGGATTCACCTTGAAGTTTTTAATTTGATTCGATTTTAATTGACTACTACCTCAATATGAATGAGTAGCATCTAATTATATTTTATTGATTATAACCGATTTGACGAAATATATTCAAGAGGTAGAGGCATCTCAATTTCGTACAGAATGTTTGAAGAGAGGTTTTTTTTCATTTAAACTTGTAGTAAAAACAAATCCCTGTATGCCTATACTATTTTGTTCATATTAATTTACTATCATAATAATAAAATTTCTATAAGATCTGTTTGTTTATAGTGTATGCCGAATACTCTCATGTCTATTCGATACTTTTTTGAATAACTTTGATAGAAGTAAGATATCGACTTGCAGTGTTGATCATTTGAAAGAGATGATGGGGATTCATCCAGCTACACATTATAGTTTTTCCAATTGATTTGGCTGATGTTCGTTTAACGGTTTTCTAAATGTTGAAAAAGTAGTTATATCTATTAGAAATGAAACAGCACAAAATATTTTTTATGGAAATTGCCAGTAAATCATTTACAGCTTCGATTATGATTCCTATAACTTCGGAATAATTATATCTAAATTTGTGAATTTTGTACAATTTCTCAGATCATCCAGTGATGGTTTGATCGTATACCTGGCAATTCAGAATTTATTGTGAACACTTGATAAGAATTTTTTTGAAAGAGGTCAATTGGAAGTTTTCAGAACTCTTATCAGTAAATCTATAATATATGACTTGATGAATCTGCATTACCTCTTTCGAAAGATGAAACTGCAACTCTTTGTCTTGTTTTCATCAAAAATTACTCAAAAAATTTCAAATAGACATCAGTATAACCGGCGTATATCATAAAAAACACTGATTTTACTGAAACTTTCTAATTATGATACTAAAGGAATAATGATTGGATAGTGTTGAAATGTCTGGCTTTGTTGTTACTAGAACTCTATATAAAAAGAAAATTTACTTAGGTAATATATAAGAAATACAGATACTGTGGCCAATGCGATGAGGTATTTCACTATTCCTTAGGTTGAAAAAATTTCTGCGACTTAACTCTTTTTATCTTCAGAAAAGAAAAGCAAGTATAAGGTGAACGGGAAGCTTTAGAAAGCATTAAAGATGAAGCTATGAATACATTAAACGATTGATTATTCTCGCGAATAAAAGACCATCTCAAATAAATGAAATGAAAAGACATAAGAAAAGAAAGCCTTATCATGCGAAGATCAATCTTTTTAAATTAATTTTTAGTGTTTATTGAATCAGTCTAGCACTCAATTTCATTATAATATGTGAGCTTAGCATCAACAATATTTTACTTGTTGCCAGACCTAGTCGTAACTTTCCATTTATAAAATTCTTGATGAACAAGTAGTATGAAACGATAGACTATTTCAGGATGCATTCTTTCACAGGAAGTAAATAGTGAAAATGACTTGATGTCCCTTCAGAATTTACTCTGAAAAAGTCGTTATACTGTGTACATGAAAAACTTCTTATGTTTATCTGATCCAAGAAACGTAGTACACTTGTCCACGCATAATACGCTAAGAGATCTTTGATAAAACAATAACATATCACATATAAGTCTATTAAGTATTCATTGAAGTTTCCATTAACAGTGATTTTATTTTAAATTATTAATCACATAAAGACTTTCCAGAATTAAAGAGAACATAACCTCATCTAACAATGTTGAAGATTGTTTTGTAAATATCTTTCATGAGTCTGTAAATATATTTGTTTTCTCAATAAGATAAAAAGAATTTTTTTGGAAAAAAATCTAAAAGAATAAATCGAACGTAAATTCCAGTTGGTGATTTTCTATATGCACTGTCTATTCATAAAATAACTATTGTACAAAGAATTTAGCTTCGGATGCATAACTATGCTTGTGTTAGATTTGACTGAAAAAATTTTTATTTATGGTAATGAAATCTCAACACGAGCAACTGGCTTACATGAATTTGACAAAAGACTATATGTCTTTTTCTCATCATCTATTCAGTTATTTAGTAGTTAAAATGATGTCAGTGGAGAATTTTGTTCTAAAGAAACAATGAATTCTCTTAGAAACTTACTATAATATTATGTAACAGAGGTCCAAACAGGCCAACTTTTTGAAGGCCTGGCATGCCTGAGACAGGCTTACACCCATCCTAGCCTGTCTGCGCCTACTTTCTGATTTGCTCGGCCTGGCCTGCCTGTCGAGGTCTGTGTCTTTTTTTTCACGTCAATATCATAGTAACTGTGCAATAAATAAAAGCAGCAATCTTCATAA